AATATACACTGGTTTGGCTTTAATTTTCAGTGTCCAAGATGTTATATATGGTTTATACGTTATGTATTAAATCTATAATTCCCTTATAACCTTTAATTATTTCTTATTTTAGAATGATTGTTATAAAACTGTCACAGACAGATGGTTGGGGTGTACCACCTCTAGATAGTGTTAAATTGTTGACATGATGTGCTATATGATCAATCACTAATTGTAAATAAGGCGATAAACACTAATTATTATCCTATATTAACTGTGATTAACATCCTAGGATGAACATTATCACGTGATCAGCATGTCACGTCAAATATAGCACGTTCGATGACAATAATAATTATTGTCGTAAAAAGTAATCAATGTTGGAATTTCTTTCAAAGGTATACGCCATTGGAACTAACGATTTAAGTATATATTTCCACGAAGTCAATATTTTAAATATTATAACCATTGATTAGCAAATATATTGAGACCAACGAGAAAAATGTATTTGTTGTAATTATATTTGTGCTGGTCATAAGAAACATACTTTCAGATAAAAATATGTTTTCTGGATTAAAACTCGATTACTCGGGAAGGATATTATCTTTAACGACAATTCTTGGCCACAAACATAAGACAATATCTAATCCGATTGACTCAATAATTGGGAAGTTGTGTGGAAGAGGCCAGGAAGATATAATGTCCGCTTCCAAACAGTGTGAGTGATATCACAGACTATAAAACCGTTTCAAATCAACATTTGTTTTATATTATTCAAATAATTTATTTGGGTGACTATTATTATGTTTATACTGTATAATTATCTAGGATTGATTCTTCTATCTGATTAAAGGAGCTAAATCTCCACTCTTCATGGCACCTAGAAATGTACACAAATGGGTCGCAGCGCATATAATATTGTAACATGAATGTATATAAACTGATTTACATTCAAACGTTTCTGTTTTTACTGAAATTTCTAATCATTTATGTTCGGCGAAATACGCTAAGAGCCTGAATTGAATGGCAGTTTGGCGTCTGGTTATTTCAGTCTACACCGATAGTACACGTAATGGTGTAGAGTTTGTAATTTAATCTTGACAGGCGGCTTAGATAGAGTTGTAAACTTGTATTTAGAAAGGCGTGAAATTAGTCATAATTATCCCTCTTGTCGATAATCGCCTGCAGTGAAAAGGACCGAGTCCTATCTTAAGGTGGAACATTTTCTTCTAATTATTACCAAGTTAGAATTACATCTCTACATACATACACTTTACTCGTAAAGTTCAACCCAGTTCAACTCAAAATTTTGTTTTATTATTATTGATAGGGTGACTTTTATTAAGATTTAGAAGAATGTGATCAAAATTAGCAATTAGTAATTAGCATAATATACGTGTTTGTTAATGTGGCTGATTTGATTATTATTTTCATTTTCTAATTCAAGGATGAAATTGCAATTTTACAGACTATTCAGTTTATTATATCTTTTATGTTTGGAGCAGAACAATAGATCGTGAACTCGCATTTCATTCATTCATATCTACTTGTTGACCCAGGTTTCTAAATTTTGTATACACTATTCAAGTCTTTTTGTTTCGGATTTTCGTGTCACAAATTCATAATCCTTAAATCTATCTCAATATCTTGACGTTTAACGCCTGTGTCGGAGTTCAAGTTGTCAATCTGGGAACATTTTTTTAAAACTGGGTCTGTAAAACAATCCACGACATGCATGTCAAACATCTGAAGAACATAAAAAGTAATTTTTTTGTTAATCCTTAATTCTTTTTTAATCCTTAAGGATTTCCACGCCTATATGTCAAAAGTCGAGTTACTGTTATTCCCAAATTGAAATGTGTTTCAGATCAACATTTTATTTTGAAAACAAAAACATCTTAAAGTACTTGATGTCCTTATAACGGTACTTGTAGGATTTCGTTCTCAGGATGTCAAAATTATTTAAGTACAAGTGTTAGAGTCTCACAGATTGTCAAGTCGACGTACTACAAACACCTAATACCACTTCTACTCATTAAAAAGAGACACGAAAGGTTAAAGTGTAGATAAATCATGATTCAGGAGATCACAAATTAAAAGATTAAGGGGTTTTGTCAGCTGTTTTAATCTATTGGACATGATTAAGTTTATGAGCGAGGCGTATTGACTGTGTCTTTATCTTTTTTCTTAAACAGCACTGAAAGAAATTATAACGCATACGCCATAATAAGACTAGGACTACGGAGTTATTATTACTCCTACACAGTTTATATAATATCAACGAACCATCTGACCAAGTGCTTGTTATTTATTCATCTATGACTTTCTCTTACATTATAATCATGTTACTCTGTATGAAATGATATTTTGCTTGATAAAGACGAGAGTACCACCGTCGACACCCTGTGATTAATAAACCAGTATACAATTGCTACTTGCAAGTCTTCGTTTTCTAAATGTCACACAACGAAGTACACTATAATTAATGCACAATATTGTGAGTTTTTTACACTTTGTTTTACTGTATTTTTGGATGGTTTATTGTTTAGTCTTAACCCATACAATTAAAAATGTCTCCACTTCGAATACTGAACTCTTTTGTCAACACCAATATTCGTTTCTGTCGAAGCGGAGACATTTCGAATGGAGAGATGGGGAAATCGGGCTGGATGGATCGAGTCTATTTATTTATATTTGGAGTGAAAAATAAAAGGGAACACTGTCGAGTGTTTGGATTCCGTTTCGAAAATATCGTTTCGTTAAACTCGTTTAATCTGTGGCTTCAAATAAGTAATACATTTTCGATGTACGAGGGCTGGCTGAAAAGTCCTAAGCCTATCTGTGAAAGACCTGTACAAAGTCGATGGTTTCTATTTATTTTTCTACATAGACCCCATCGAGGAGGTATACACACTTCTGCCGACGATGTAGCAAGGCCTGGATGAAGGTCAGGAAGAAATTTTCTTCAACCACATTATGTCATTGACGCTAGGAAAATGACGACAGGTCTCATCATGATTACAAATCTGGCCAAATGCTTCTCAGGATCTGCTTCAAATCCGCACATGATGCCACAACCCGACACGTTGCTGATCCACAGTCAAGAGCTTTGACACCCATCTTGCAGAAACTTTTGTCATTCCTAACCTCGTTGGCGTTAATGTACCCAACCCTCTCATGAGCGACGCCCACAACACTGGCAATATGTCGAGTGGTGAATCGTCGATCAGGCCTCACCATGTCATGCACCCGGGTAATGTATTCTTGAATGGTTGCTGTTGATGGCCGTCCAGGACGTGGGTCCTCGTCAAGATCCTCTCTGCCACGCTTAAATCCCACAGCCCAATTCTCTACTGCGGAAAGGGAAGTGGGATCATCCCCTAAATTGAAGACCATGTAGGCATGTAGGTTAGTCCGTTCAGTTGCAGGTACTTGATGACTGCCCTGTAGACAAGTTTGTCCATTTCTGGTAATTTCAATGGGTAGGTTCACAAGATGGTCTGGTACGAAGACAATAATAACACTACAGTTGCAGTTCTTATGTCTATGATTCATTCAAAGTTTGTTTCAGTCCAATTGATCTACTCTTTTCAGGAAGCCCTCGAACATTTGTATTTTATCAATATATTTTTTTTAATTTCGACTATAGCCTAATCTAAACAATCTGTTTTATTTTTTCCGACTTAGTTAAATAAGAAATGTATATATTCATATCAGTAACCTGTAATCAGTTTAGTTTATAAACAAAGGTATTAAACTCTCAACATGTATTTTGTATTAGTAAGACGTCTGAAGTGGCCATTTCTATTTTTTTACAATATACGTGTGAAGGTTGGGATAATGATAACAACTTTCCAACCCTCCTACCATTCATCTGTCACATTCTTACTGTCAACACAAGGGTTCTTAATATATCATTCTATTGACATGGCCAACAAAAACTATACATGATCTCTGTTTTAAAAAAAACAACACTACCTCCTACTTATCTAATAGCCCATATCTTAATGGAATAATAGAGTTAAATATGCTTAAGATAATCCTTGAACACGCCGCTCTAAATCGTTTATTTTGTTTTTTATGATTTTTACCGCCACCGAGCTATTTGATGTGCGTATATTAATGCGCAGTTGCAAAAAGTGAATATTAGCGACGTCTTAATTTAGATGTATGAAAATATCTGCGATAAGGTAGATAATCCACACACATAATGAATGACAATAAATAATAATGTGTATGTTGAAAAGGGAAATGGACGAGTAGACTAACGCGTGTGTTTTAGGATCCACCATCTTAATCTCCTGGATCTTCAATACCCCCCCCCCCTCCCCCCCACACACACTCTTAAATACGTATTATAAAAATACTATATGTTAATCCCGAAATGTGCTATATACGTCAATACTCAAAGTAAAACTTAAAAATGAAACAAAAGACAAAAAAATACATAACCGAAACGCGAAAGCAAGATACTAGTAATTGAACTAAATCAGAATGAAATTAATGATAATTAAGTATTATCGTGTTACTGGAACGATCAAACATTCTCTTCCACGAGAGACATATGTATTGAATGAGCTTATACGAGAATACAGTTTATGTAGCTTTTTGTATATAGGTTATGTAGTTCTTTGTACATAGTTTATGTAGCTCTTTGTAAAGATAAGAGGTATGATAACCAGGAATAAGACAGTGCCTAGGTCATGGTAATATTGAGGGTGTTTAAAACACTATTTCTCTTTATTTCGTCAAGGAACCCAATCCAAAATCATACTGCACTTAAAGTGACTTTAAAGGTAATACAGAATCTTCTGTTCAAGCATCTAAACCAACGAACTGCGTCTTCGCATCAAATTTCAGGTCATATATAATAGTACTAAAATGAAATTTATATGAATTAACATTTTTACTTCATTGTCATTTCTTTCAAAATTGATTTGTCAATTTAACCCTATTTTTGTTTCCTGAGGTAATGTCTCTGTATAATACTCATAGATGCCTTGTTGTATTTTTTGTTTTAGTTCAGCGTCAGTCGTGCCTTCAAGCAGAGAAATCTCGAGAAATATTAAATAATTGCAGCAAGAAACAGAAAAAACGGCGACGACATAGGTGAGACATCAATTTTGATCTTGTTAAAATTCTGATGCCTGGTGGCAAGTGGTTATTATTTATCTAGAGATTCAAATACAATAGGTATATCCAACAAAGTTGTCTTCCTGTATTTCCCCCATAGAGAATCTGGATGGACATTTCACTGTAATAGATCGTACAGCATAACTGCCCAGTGTACTGTTATAAAACGGTACGCCAATACAGCACATACATTCTAAAATGTCAAAAAAAGTGACAAAGATTAAGCGGAAGTAGATGTGTTGGTAATATCTCAGTATTGGGTCAATTTGAAATATCCTTATGTTAGTTTGTTAGGTATATATAACAGTCTATAAAAGATGTAAGAGCTAAACCAACTTATTGCAGGTTATTTTTTCAAACTTCAAATGTTATACAAATTATTATTTAGATGTTGGTTCACACGACACGCCTATGATCAACACCCTAGGCCGCGAATTTGCTGAGATAGTACGTCGGTTAGAAAATGTCTTCATATCTTCGTTAAACGTTAACATGTAAAACCTCGACTACGTTTATAGTCGTAGTAATGGTACTTGACAATGGAGACTATTTCTTGCGAAAACTTCAAATATTCATAACTTCGCTCAGAATAATTCAGAGCGTAGATTAAACAAGATGTGCCATTGTAAAAAAAAAACCCAACAAATATCATATCGTTGAATGTTGAGGCTGTGTCCATCTTAAAAAATATATTCAATACGATGAAAGACCCACTAAATAGAAATTGGAAAAAATGAAGTATTATTTAGAAGAGTTTGATGTGTTTATTCAACTGCTTGTTTTTGATATAATAGATGTATAAATATATACTATGATCGCGTGATATGTTTGATTACGTCCTATTATTTATCTTGTTAGGTGTGTGACATAAATTCATCTTCCTTTACTATGCAGTCAGAAAATCAGGTCGTTAGCCAAAACTTGCTGTTACAAATACTTGCGCTTTGGAGTAACACTGAATTCGAAGTCGAGGTTTTTCCGTTACACCACATTTCTCATTTAATTTATTCGTCGCTCGGCGTAGTCACTTCCTAATTGTTTTCATTACAGCGCAGAAGTGATATAGTTCAATTAGAGCTTATGCTAGTACCGTTTCCAAAATTAAAATCACGTTCAAACTTCTCAGTTAGATGAGTGCATAGGTTCAATACCGTGACAATTACATATACAATTTCTGAATTAGTATTAAGTTCTGTGATAAAATCTAGAGAGTCGAAAGAGTCCTACTTTACATTGCTTAAAACAGAAGGTTATCTTATTAAACAAAAAAAACCCAAAAAAAGTTCGAAATCATTCGAAGTAAGCTGGAACGACACTGGTGTTGGGATTTTCCTTCTGTCCCTGATACACGAATCATACGTCCACCCCTGCAACTCAAAAGGTGATCGTGGTGCACCATAATTACCTGTACTCTTTTCTCTGAAGAGAAGATTGGGTAATTCTGTGGTGTGCGAGAATGCTTCTTGGTAAAACTGTTTATTTGAACATGTAATGTAACTGTCGAATTCAGGGATCCACGGCTTGTATCAAATATATATACCTAATTTCCCACTAATAAGATAATTTTCAAGTGCAGTTAACGCTAATTTAAAAGTAAATAGAATATGTCAGACAAGCAAGAAGAATTTCTTTCTAACACGCAACATGCTGTTTTGGTGCGACACAAAAACTGGTATTTGATACAAAGCTTGATGTATCAAGTTGCCGTCTTTAATATAAGGTTGACGTAAAAACGCAGATTTGTTTGTAATTTGCTTTGTGAAAAAGAAAATACAATTCAGAAGTTATTATAATTTTTGATTGATTTGAAACAGAATGCATGTAGTTTTGTTTTAAAATGATAACATTTTTTGACATAACGGTCATTTTATTTCATTATTCTATTCTGAAAGAATAGTGTATAGTAGAACTCCGTGATTCAAGATAACACGACACCAACAACATCACTCACATGTCACCCGGATTCATTCACTTGATTTGATATTTGTTGTTTATTTCTTGCAATGTCTGTGTACTTGTCCCTAGGTTTGTCTTATCGGTTTTGTTTTGCGTGCAGTGTGGTCCTTCTGCACGTACTAATAGATTTGACCAACTCACTGCAAAGCCTTTTGCAAGAGCGTTTGGTGAACTCTGTGAATACCACTGGAAAGAACGACCCGTATAATTAATTTGACATATCGCTAAAATCATAATACATCTTCATTTCAATGATTTGAAAAAATATATCCAACAAAATACAGCAGATTACATTTTGTGTTATATTCTCTCTAACATAACGTTTCAATGATAACGCGATAGGTTATGCAGGTAAACAGGTTAGAAAGAAAAATGATAATTAGTTAAGTTATGCAGAAAAACATAATAATTAGATAGGTTATGCAGGTAAACATGATAATTAGATAGGTTATACAGGTAAACAAGGTAAGTAACGTTTACAGAAAAATGATAATTCGATAGGTTATTCAGGTAAACAGGGTAAATAGCTTTTACAGAAAAATGATAATTCGATAGGTTATTTAGGTAAACAGGGTAAATAGCTTTTACAGAAAAATGATAATTCGATAGGTTATTTAGGTAAACAGGGTAAATAGCTTTTACAGAAAAATGACAATTCGATAGGCTATTCAGGTAAACAGGGTAGAAAGAAAGATGATAATTATATAGCTTATTCGGGAAACAGGATAAATAACGTGTTAAAGAAAAATAAGGGATATTTATATATGTATAGATGTGTGTCGCTAATGGTTATGTATAGAAAAAAAACATGTCTGTACATGTTAGTTACATGTAAACCTGGTTAAATGAGGATATTATACTAGAGATTATTGCTACTTCATTAATTAATGTGATTGAAACCGCGCCGTTTGATCGGGATCGCCGTAATTAGTTGTTTGGTAAAAGCTTCTCATATTACTACGCCGTTAGCTAGCCAACTTACAGCTATATAGTCAGCCTCCTCCTAGCACGCGGCTGTCATTTAACGCAGAGACACGCGTGAAAGAGCGAGAAGTCTCATCTTTATTCTATTCATTAAGAAATTAGCCGAATTTACGAGGCATGCTGAGACAACTACAAGCCTTTCGACACACTAATCAGCCAGCTTTTACGAACTGGGTTTTTAAACTCGTAAAATGGTGGATAAAAAGTGAGCCCAGCCGTGAATTATGTCCGTATGATTCAAATATAATTGGTTATTTTTTTAATAACATCTTTCCGTTAGAAACAAACCCCACGCTGCCATCTTATTTGAAATATTAAAGTAATTCCGCCACTAAGCTTATTAACCAATTATAGATTGACAAAATGGTTTTTAGTTCGTGGCGAAGGTTAACTTGGTGAGATTTTGTGTTTTTACTAGGCAAGTCTAATGAGTTTCAAAGTTGGACCCACAGATTAAATTTCAAGAAGAAATTACTTCAGTATGTTTCGAGACAACATTTGCAATCGATAACGATTAACTGATGTGCCTCTTTTTTTTAAACTTATGTCTATTCTGGTACCAGGAAATATATGAAAATATTGGATTCGCCTAATTATTTTTTTTTAACTTTTTAATGTAAAAAAAACTAATTAGGCGAACTCAATACAAACTAATGTAGTTCGCCCTTCTCTTCAACATGAAAAAAGTAATAAGGGTATATTTCTCCCATCTACCATACTTCTTAACAGTCCTTATAACTGTTACATATAACCCCGTTCAGATTATTTGATCAACAAATCAAAATGAATACCATTTATTTTTTCATCGTAGAAAACGCATCGATGTGACTTATAATTATATAAAAGGATATCTCCTAATTTGATTGGTCAGTTAAAAGGGACTACTTTTTTATTTTCAAAGAACAATTCATTTTCTAGTAAAAGTAACTTCTTTTTTTATTAAAAAGTAACTATTTTATTTAATTGACCTTGCTGGTCAATATAAAGGACTTTGCAATGGTTGAATTGCTGTCAAAAAATGATGTATCACTACGCCGAAATGTAATCAGGTTCAGTAAAAGTGAAATCTATAGCAAAGAATTATATTTATTCGTGCATGTAAGAAAGGATTGGGTGATAAATAAAATTTCCTACTCGTCGATCAAAAAAGACTCGTAGAAGATTTTCTATATATCACCCAATCCTTTCTTACATTCACAAATAAATATAATTCTTTGCACATTTTAACAAAATTAAACATAGTCAACTAACCCAATTTCAGGATGGCCTGAACTAATAGCTCTTTTGATTAATTCAATTTGTTAATTTATGTTTATATTTGAAACTATTAAGTACACCGACTGAGATATTTTTAATGAGTTGCTTCTTTATCGACCTGAACCTGAGTTACTAGAAGTGCAAATTTACCAAGGGGAATAACTCGCGTAATTAATCTATAATTGTTTGCTTTATTTGTGATGTTTAAATGTTGTTACATTAAGAGTTATCTTGGTATATATTTCAGGACAATATTTACCAGTTTTCAACTAGAAGAGTTAGAAAGGGCGTTTAAAGATGCTCACTATCCCGACCTGTATGCTCGAGAACTTTTAGCTTTAAAAATAGATTTACCTGAAGACAGGATACAGGTATGTGCCTCGTTATGATTATGTCGCGTAACACGTTTTCATAGGGGTTTTTTTGCAAAAAATTACACGACAGATATCATCAGATAAGATCAACGTGTATCTGTCGTAAACCGATTAATCGAAGATCACTGGATAGAACATAAATAGAAACTGAGATATGGTTGTTAAAAGCCATGACATCCCGGACTGCAAGTTTAGTGAGTCGCGTTCTTCCACTTTAACTTTATGCAAAGTTGTTAAGAACAACCGATCTAATAAGAGGTTGATGGACGAAAATACCTCAGATTATTTATGCTAACTAATGTTAGTAAAAATAGCTTACGTCATTATATTAATGGAATGTGATAAATTATACCAAATAAATTGAACAGCCTCTTACTTCACGACCATTTTCATAAAAATGAATAAATTTAATAGTAAACGTATCTGTAAATATGTTTTGAAAATCTCGGGTTTTTTTATTTTAAAAATGTGGAATTTCTGAAATATATGCAGCTGGATCAGGTCAAAATTCCACAATAACATACTTTTTGCTTGAAAACTTGGGTGCTAATCTTCATGTTACCGAGTGAACATCAGGTGGCTATAAAGTGTGGATTTGGATTATTACAGTTAGGCGGAAAACGAAATAGTAATCCGTTCTTCCCAGTGCGCTTCTGCAAGTGAAGTTTTCTTAACTCATGGCTGCTACGATAAAAACGGGAGAAAAAGAGCTTGTTGGTTTATTTAGCTATCCTAGACGATGATAATGTTTCTCAAACACTCTCTATAATAAGTTTATTTGCCATATCAAAATAAACACATTTGCGTGAGGCACGCATCCTCGATCGTCAAACGTAGTTCATTGGAAAGTTTCATCAAAGTTGAAAAGTTTTTCTAACGTTTATTAACCTACGCGGTTTCCAGATTTTGAGCGATTCTATATTACTGTTTGTGCTTAACACGTGTTCTGGAATGTTTACTCAGTAAATTTTTCCGCCGTCTCAAATAGACCAAAAAGGTTATAATGCTCGGGCACTTTGTTTTTTCAACCAAAATATATATTTGTACTTGGCATAAGAGCCAATTTGAGGAAGTAGATGTGCTCGATGTTGATGTTACAGTTGTCTTCGAGTTATCACTGGCCAAATCACAGCCAATTAGCAACCACTACAAAAAAATTCGTGCTTGTTTTTGCTAATACAGTTTTGTTTCAAATTAAAACATCTGCTTATGTTCAAACTGGATAAACTGTTGGTATATGGAGTCATCTTCGACTTAAAGTCACAATAATAAAGCAATGTCTTATTTACTGTAAACCATATCAAAGACGATCCAAGTCCCTAATACAGGGGTGTCAAACATGCGGCCCAGATCCGGCTCGCCAGGGATTTAAATGTGGCCCGTGGAACAAATTACAACAAACTGTCGTGTCGATAATTTTAAGAAACTAGCGATGGAAATCATTTATTATTGTTTACTGGTTTCAGTAAACTCTGACTTCTGTACCATATGCCATAGATATCTAAGTTGTATGTAATACATGAGAACGTTGTGTTCAATATTATATCTGGGCAATTTGGAAACCAGTCTAAAATATTACCTGTGTCAAGGACGTTTGGCTTTGTTTTAAGAATTCAGTAAAGTTCAAGGACGTCTGGCTTTGTGTTTAGAATTTTGTATATCTCTGTCTCACTTGAATTAAAATTTTAGTTCATGTTACCCCTGAATCGAATGAATTTTTAACAATCACTTACAGCGTTCAAGCGGTTTAAAAATAATGTCTGGATATTTTGAAGAGGTGCTCTGGTAGTCACTTATAGTCACTACACCGTCTGCGGTTTGAATACGATATAGACTCTCTTATAGTTTGTGCGTATTTACTTAAATACTCCACCCCCTCCCCGCGGGCATCTAAATACAGAACGCCTAAAGCCTAGCATATGTCGGCCTATACGACGCGACAAAACTGACGGTCTCTCGAAATCGGCGACTGATCAGTCGTGACAACCTCGGTGACCTGAACGCTTTTACGACTGGTGTAAGTCGGACGTCAACCAGTCGCCGTCAAGTCGCCTCCAGTTTTACTTCTACGACTGAAGACAACTAGTTCTCCCTAGTCGCAAGCAACATGAGCGCACTTACGACTACCTTTAGTCGGCGCCTCGCTGAGGTAGCCAATACGATTCGGTTATTTAATCACGTGGTACCCAGGGGACGGTAACAAACATTGGCGGACAAGTGGAATGGGGTCATTTTAAATGTTATCACGTGGCAGTCTTTGTGATCAGTTGTGGCTCCGATTCTGCAACTGACGCCAGGCGATATGAGCGCGCTTACGACTATGATCACCTGATTACTCGTGGTTGCGTCCAGTCGTGGATAAATTTAGTCATAGCGACATAAGCTCTCATTTGCTGTTAGTCACCGTCAGTTTTATCGCGTCGTAGGGCGACACAAGCTAGGCTTTTGAGCGCTAGATTGAACACGACGTACTGACCGACCGCCGTGTCTACGAAAGTATTAATGTATAAGTAACGTGTACAATGCCTAAATGCAGATTTTGTGAATGATTTTCAAACTTTCCGACAATAAGTTATTCTGGTCTGAAATGAAAAATAACATGTGTTTTGCGTAAAATGACCTACACGAATTTCAAGAGGCATTTCTTCTGTATTTGTTCATTAGGTAACCACAAAAATACGGGTTTTTATATAATAGACTATTCAAACTGTCAAAATCTTACATTAATTAATTACTTAGCAAATACTCGACAATAATTTTTTTAGTGCCTTTTTTCTTTATTCTGCTGCTTTTTTCATTTAACAATGATAAGTTATCGATCTAATAAAATACACTGTAACTCATATCTCAGCCAAGCAGTAACAATAGGCCTATTAATAAATGAGGTATTCACGGTCATTAATTTCAATATTAAACCCTTACCGCGCATAATTTTCAATTAGAACACCTTTATCAACCCTATTACATTAAACAAATAACGACACGTCCCACAATTCATTTATTGGCTATAAAACTAAATTGATCTCGGCATGGCAGCTTTGAATAAGCCCGACCTGTAACCTCGCGTTAGTCGTCTGGAGATTGCTTGATTTTCAGCGACAGGAGGTAATAACATAAATTTCAAGTGTAATTCCCCCCTTTAAATAATTAAATCAAAACTGTTATTTCTATTCACGTTATAACTCAATGATTGACAGTGACGTAGAGTGAAATAGATCGCTCGTCTTCCAAGATGGAGGACGACTCATTGCCGGCCATCACCGTCAAACTCGATTAACCAGATTCCATTTAGACACCAGTCTCATTACATTATTAGAAATACAATAATCTTGAATACATAGAATGTACTGTTAGTAATCTAATTTCCAATTATGAACGAATCGATTTCTTTCTAATTAAAAAAGATAATGACGAAATTAATAACCAGTTATATTGGCGGCTATTTTTCATAACCATTTTTATTCTACCGACAAAAATGACAAATCTATTAGAATATAGTTAATTGTTTAATGAATATAAACGAGATTGTATTCAATGTTGTTGATGATAACACTTACTTAGGGAAATTACATATATTAATTGAAATATAGATCTTTCAGCGATACATTTAAACGCGGCAAAAAAGCCATGTATAAAAGTCACTTGTTGAGGTTTCCTCGTTCAATTTAATTTAGACTTGTTTGAACATATCTGACATCAACCAAGTAAACGCAGATCTCCTGATATGAAGTTGTATTCCCATTACTCTAGAAAACAACGAATGACTGAATGAAATGGGGTTTAACGTCCTACTTTTCTGCACCTATAGCCTCTCTAATGAAGACCAACGTATGCCATAGAGTGTACTATGAGGGGAATTTTGCCCAGACATGAATTAAATTGCAACCTTCAGTGGTTCTCTTTTACGTACCCACCAACGTGTACACGGGACCTCGGTTTTTCGCGCCATCCGAACGACTAGGGCGGTCCTTGTCAGATCCCCCCATCCTGAATCACTTACAAAGAGGAATCACACCGGAAAATTCCAAGTAGCCAGATCTTACTCATTAACTTCTAGAAAATATGAAATCGGAATTTTCTGAATGGTTTGATAATGATACTTCCTATTACTGCTGTTCACTGAAAATGAAATTATTAGAATATAAATTTTAATACCGATACCTCAGTCGCTACGAGGTAAATCCGCTGCCGTCACTACGTAGATTCCTGAAAAATAATTCCTCGCGGCAAAACCGGAAGTAGCGATGGTAGGGATTGATTGACGCAGGGGTGTCAAACCATTTCGATTCAGGGGCCACATTTATTAATAGACATATTGTTACTGCTTGGCTCAGATATTTTAGTAGATCGATAACTTACCATTGTTAAATGAAAACAAGCAGCAGAATAAAGAAAAAAAAATATTGTCGAGTATTTGCTCAGTAATTAATTAATGTAAGATTTTGACAGTTTGAATAGTCTATTATATAAAAACCCGTATTTTTGTGGTTACCTAATGAACAAATACAGAAGAAATGCCTCTTGAGATTCGTGTAGGTCATTTTACGCAAACACGTGTTATTTTTCATTCCAGACCAGAATAACTTATTGTAACTTATTGTCAGAAAGTTTGAAAATCATTCACAAAATCTGCATTTAGGCATTGTACACGTTCCTTATACATAGACACGGCGGTCGGTTAGTACGTCGTGTTCAATCTAGCACTCACAGGAGAGAGAGAGAGAGAGAGAGAGAGAGAGTTAACGTCCACTCGACAGAAACTGGGACATTTCGGGGCTAACATATGGCTCAATTTTATTTCAATAATTCGCTTGCGCGTAGGGGTCTTTCGCAGTGGGAGGAAACCTACGAGGTTGGACAGGCGACTCTACTCCTTGTCATGTACAATCAGGGAATCGAAACCACGCCATTTGACTCAATGACAGACCTTATGATGCAACGATAACCATTCGGCCACCCAACCCCCAGCACTCAAAAGCATCTTGTATTTAGATGCCCCCCGGGGGGGGGGGGGCATTTAAATAAATACGCACAAACTATGCGAGAGTCTATATCTATATCGCAGACGGCCTAGTGACTATAATTGGCTACCATAGCGCCTTTTCAAAATATCCATACAATATTTTAGATCGTTTAAACGCTGTAAGTGATTGTTAATTCGATTCAGGGATAACATAAACTAATATTTTACTTCAAGTGGGCCGGAGATATACAAAATTTCTTAACACAAAGCCAAACGCGTCCTTGCACTTTACTGAACTCTAAAAACAAAAGTCAAACATCCTTGACACAGGTTATATTTTAGACTGGTTTCCAAATTGCCCAGATATAATATTGAACACAACGTTCTCTTGTATTACATACAACTTAGATATCTATGGCATACGGTACAGAAGTCAGAGTATACTGAAACCAGAAAACAATAATAAATGATTTCCACCTCTAGTTTCTAAGAATTATCGATGGGCCACGTTTAAATCCCTGGCGAGCCGGATCTGGCCCGCGGACCGCATGTTTGACACCCCTGGATTAACGTCAAATAAACTTAGGTGAACTAGTCAATTCTACAGTCCACTGTATCTCTTCTGTAGATTTATTTTCCGGCGCGGTTTCCCATTGTCCGTGATGCAGGACAGAGGGCCAGGTAAGTACAGTGTCTAGTGTACCCATTAGTGTGCTCCTTAAAGAACTCTGACAGTTGGAATTCAAAATAAGAGTAGGCCGTACATTTAATTATTGTTTTCTTTGATATTTGCAGGTTTGGTTCCAGAATCGTCGGGCCAAATGGCGAAAAACGGAGAAAACTTGGGGTAAAAGTAGCATAATGGCGGAATATGGTTTATATGGTGCTATGGTTCGCCATGCTCTACCACTACCAGACGCCATTGTTAAAAGTGCTGATAAAGGAATAGAACAATCGAACGCACCCTGGTTGTTAGGTAAGTATACAGAGTTCATAGGAATTAATATTAACACCCCGCTCCCACCCTCACCCCGATATGATTGATTGTTATATAAAGAACTAAAGTACATTTGAACAATTCGGTTATTCTTTCAATCTAATAGTTATACTGACAAGGCCTCGTCTGTCTAATGTCCTGCATTTTTTCCGTTTCCTCAAGTAACTATATGTCGAAATAAACTGTTTCTATCTCGAAATGACAAAGTTATCTCGAACCTTAAATCCGATACTTAACGTCTTCTGAGTTTCTGTTTTTTATGTGTGGTGCGGTTCTCCTGCACTTACCTAAACTATTTAACCCTTTACTAAGATAACGTATCCCCTTGGTGCTTTGTCTAAGAAATATAATCCATTGTTATAATTTGTCAATTACAGGTATGCACAAAAAATCAATAGAAGCGGCTCAAAAGATGAACGAAGTTGACGACGATAGCGGTTCATCCGACACAGACGAGAAACAGAAAAACAAAGAAGAACTGAAATCAGAAAGTATAGCAGCATTACGTGCTAAAGCCCAAGAACATAGTGCAAAAATGGTTGGAGTGATACAACGAGATGGCGTTAATATCGCTGAGCGGAGTAATACATTATCCAACAAAATGATCGATCCCTATCAACGAGATGGCGTCACTTCCTGTTGACAAACGTCATGTGAAGAGATTCATTCGCGATTAAGACTTATCCAGAATTCACAATAACTCTAGGCATCGGCGGATGTGAATTTAAATATTGTGCTCTTAATATTGAATGTTTGGTGCCTTTTTACCTCACTTAACTTTATGAAAGGCGATTTGATTTGTTGTGGTGTATATATTCTTACAAGGACAGAATGCTATTGTAAATATTAATAATATTAATAATACTGTGCTTGTTAGGTTAATATTATTCTACATGTTTTGTACATTACGTAAAGATATCGTCAGTAGCTGTCTAGTCTGTATTGCGAGTAGGGTTCGCGATGTTTATTTATGCTACTTTTTAATTTAAAAAATATATATATCTACCTAAAGTCAATATAGGTACAATATTCCAGACTAAACGGACGTGTACAATAGAAGTTAAGCTTTGGTGCAAAAATTCAAATTTATAAAAGTTCAAATTTAATTTTTATTCAATCTCTATTAGATCGTTAGCGGGCACCTGAAGGATAATTCTTCTCTATTAACAATGAGACCAAATGGCATCTGTTATACTTTTTTAAAGGTCCACATGTCTATCTGAATAACACTTTTGAGTTGGTATTTTTGTTCAATTTATTGGTCTTCGGACAGTGCATATGGGCTTTAATAGCCCTTACCACATACAATATATTCTCTATTATAGTAACCCAGTAGCGTATTAATACTGCACTTGGGACTTTGAATAAATTAACATGCTCTGCCTCGTATACCTGAGGCCAGTCACCACTTAGGGTTTGAACAGGTCGATCAATTGTCTGTCTATGCCAAACTGCTCAAATATGTATTGCTAAGTAAATGGCACCAACTATAACGCATGGTCAGAAACATATTGTTGTAGCTCAAGCTGGCTGATCGAAATTCAAAAAATCATAGAATCACACAAAATTAAGTTATTGTCAATAACTAGAGAAATTGTAGCATATATTGTTGTAAATATCATGAAATAAAAACAGTAAACGATAATATTCTGTGTTACAATTTACAAATTATAGACTGGACAAGCACATTCTTACTGCGTTCTTGAGCAGATTGGTCTTTAAATGTTAATTGATTGCAACTGGTTTTGTGTAGTTGTATATTTACCCCTCGATGATCCAATATTCCAGAATAAACGACAAGGATAGACTTTCAGATCATAGACAATAAAGACAAATCTTAACAAAAATCACATTGGTCCGAGAATTATCCAAATCTATCAATCCTAAAATAGTTTATTGTCATCTAATGATCACATTACTTCCAAGCGATTCCCCTACCCCTCTGAGCGATGGCTCATTGCTGTCCACAAACATCGAGGTTAAGGTGGTGTCTAACCTAAGTTAAGGATAAAAAAAAATCCAATAATAAATACTTTCCTAGACTCAAAGACAAAAGCTATTCTTATTTTTCGAATTTGAAAAAAAAAACAATCATCAAAATTTACTGTCCTCTAATGAATTTCACAGAGCAGTGGAAATAACGAAACGCAATAAAACGATGGTAGAAATGGGAAAGGAAAGTTTCTTCGGACCCTGACATTCGGAGAGTTCTTCTACGTTTTACTAAGTATTCTTATCATGCGAATAACCGCGAACACTGACATGTGGGCAACAGACATTGAGAGATTACGATGACTATCAAAAAAAAAGATCATTATCATCTCAACATATGCATATTTGATGACTTCAAATACCAAACTTTATGCATTACGTCTTTTCTTTTCATACTTCTGAACTAATAATAATTGTTTGTAAATGTTGACAAGTATTGTCTAGTATTTTCTTTTATAATACGGACGTGCATAAAAATATAAAAAATTTCGAGCATTCCAGTGTCAGCCTTGTATAACTATATAACATGTTATCATACCCACACATAAACCATGCAGGTGGTATTAAAATCTACATTAAGTCAAACAATTTGAATAACCATTACGACATTTTGACAAGTGACAGGTATTTGCTGAAAGTAAAATGAAGGAAGGTGAATAGTTCTGTTCATAAGTATATTTTCCATATAGTTTATCATGTTTAATGAAATTGACATGTGATATTTATAACACAATGCAGGAAAAATATAAAACAAAATATAAACACACAGCAAATATAAGCACAAGAAAGCATAACAAATGCGCAACAAAACATAAACGTACACAATGCAACAAAACAAAATATAAACGCACACTACACATCAAAACAAATATATAACAAAACAAAAACAACAAAACATAAATGCACCCTACAAAATAAAAACAACAAAACATAAACGTACACATCCAAACAAAACAAATATACAACAAAACATAAACGTGCACAAAAATTAAAAAAAAAATATGCTCAACATCAAATGCAAAAATGAATTCAAAGGGCGTAGTAAGGTAAAATTAACATTTTATGACAATACACAACCTATCAACTATTTTAAAATGGTATGCTGGATTAGCTAAATGAACACCCCGCAACTCACCAATCTGAATTTCTTGAGTATTAATGAGAACACAGGATATTATCCTATTACTCTTCTTATTAATTACTATATTATGTACATACATCGTTTAAATAATTCTCATACCTATTTGAGAACCTGCTCGTTTTATCGTAAGCCAGGCTGGTGACTATTTATTATGTTCTGAATCCAATTAAATAATATCTTTTAAAAATTTGGATATTCAATCACTATTGAAACTAATTTTCAAAATGACTTTTGAAAGTTTTCATCAGTAGGCATAATACAAATGGATTGAAGGCTATTTCTAGTACACCGTACTGATCTTTCTTAAAGAGACAGAATACAAGGGCGGTAAATCTAGTTAACACTCACCCGAGTACATCCATTGTAAACACCAGTCTGAATACGAATTACTATTGAATACTGATCATGTCATTTGCTTTTATTTGATGTACGATAAAGCAAAACATTAATTTTAACAAAACTTTTATGAATAAAATCTCAGTTTGTTTTATGAATTTGGAAGGCAATGTTTGCTGTCAACTGAAGAAGCTTCAAAGGGTTTCAGATTGTGGATGGGAACTCTTTAAATGGGGTTGGTAGTGGACGATTTCAGATATTATCAGATACATATATGAACAATTACTTCTAAACGAAACAGCCTCGTCTTGTCAACCTGCTTATGATTTAAATATTAAAAATATGTACTACTAGTGTCATTCCTTAATTATTGCGTTGTACATTCCTTCCAAAATGTATGTTGCTACTTTCGAAAAAAAGAACACCGGGACATTTTTTTCTTTTCCGTTGTCTAAACATTGTGAATAGATTAAGTGTATTAGTTAATGATTGATAATGTTAAAACGCCTTCAGTTAGTAGTAGCAGCAGTATCATATACCATACTTCACCAATATACTCTGACACTGATCGATCGCTATCCAAGTCCCGCCCATTCTCTTCTATATGAATATTGATTAGTTTTGATTGATGCCACTTGAGACCATTGATGGGCACGTGCTAGAAGTCTGTAAATGACAGATTGAGAGCGGATAAAACACGGGTACACAGTGGGTAGTTGACAAGAGGGAAATTATGAGATATTTCTAAACTCCTGATCAAAAAGCGAATCCATTCAAGTGGAAAACGAAATGAGATATTTTAAAATTGCTTTCGTTCCGCTTCCCGCGCCTTGCTGACGATGAATCTGGGTTTTCTATTAACCAGATTAGCCGAGTTGTGTTCTCTCCCATATCGCAGCAGTCTGATAACGGAGTAATGGCGGATTGAGTCTCTTGACAATCTTGCCGGCGATGATAATTACTTTTTGTGAGATTTAGACTCCAATTAATAACGTTGTAGGGCACCAGGTAACGGGCCTCGGTGGATCGTTTGTTCGGTTAGAGATAAGCGACAATAACGATGATATTGTTTGTCCATATAACCGACAAATACGTTGAATGTCACATCAGAATTACAGGAAATTTAGCTAAAAGGTTAATTAAAAGGAGTATTTTACTATGGGATGGTTTATGAGCTGTAAAAAAGACGGATCGTTAGGAGATAAATTCTTCCACATAGGCGATCCATTTACAGAGCGTGGTATAACTATAGAGCTGTATTCGAGATAGCGATCTCTATGACCCGTTGCCAGTCATCAATTAATTTATACACTTTAGTTCTTTTACAGACGACTGTTATTTTAGATGGGTAGATAGTATGTCCGACTGTCACAGATTACAATTGATTTAAGAGTCCGCTATAATTGTTCAAATTATATGATTGGAAAACGATAAACCTGCTTATTGGAAATATCCATTGAAGCCCTTTGTTGTTAGTCAGTCTGTAACATTATGACTTCATTACACAAATGATTTTGATAAATTAATTAATGAAAAAGAATGTATCTAACACTTGTACGTTTTAATTGTATCATTTATGAGCTTGATTAGCGACTGATATAGGTGATTAATATTACATATTCAAATTAACGACAAGTGCTTTAAATGGGAAAAAAATATGTGAATATTTTATGACTTTGATAATGTCTGATAAGGACGAGTTTTGATGGAATGGGAGCACATTTTAGTTATAGAATGAACTCCGGAGACAATTTTATGAAGATAAATTTTGATTTACTATAAAATTTGAATTTATTTTAATCTCCTGAATAGCAATATTGCTATGTGTTCACACAATGCTATATGTTACTTTCATGTGTTATCGTGTATTGTTATTTTATTAGTTTATGATGTTCTTGTGTGATAAAAAATAAACTGTGAAATCCCATTTATTTATCTTAAATTATATCTAATGATGAGTGATATTTATTTTATATGGGAATGAAAACTTATTATCGAAATACGGGCTAAATTGCCTAGATCTTATATCTTCTTTGCGGCGTGTGTGTTTCCGGGTGGTTCTGATAGGGTGTAGAATTCCAAATGAAAAGAAGAAGCGAAGTGCAAACATGCACCCTATGGAAATTGTGAGCCACATGATCTTCTGAAATACGTGGTTAAGTCCCAAGGGCCTGATTCTAGCGATGTTGATACTGTTTGAGTCGGTAAGGATATGTGTTTTTTTAGTGCGGGTTATGGGAAAAGATCCTAGATTAATAAGCTGTGGTGGATGTTGTGTACGAGCATGCTTGCTGTTTAATTAATACCACATTCGAGGAGTTCACA